GATTAAAACACTATGAAGTGGAATTTACATGTACAAAGACATGTACATACCGAAATCAATTAACAAAAATCAAGTTTTGTAAAAAAAAATTTTTTAGAATATATGAATATGGAATAAAAAAAAAATAAGACGCTGCAAAAATGTAGAATAGAATTAAAACACATCAGAAATGAAATAAGACAATAAAGGTATCACACAATCCAAAATGTCAGATGGCAGAGGTAACCAGGGCACGGTATGAAGTAGCACTCTTTGCAGATATTGCAAAGGCAAACGGGGCCATCCCAGGAATGGACCAACCTCCTGAATTCTTTGAAGTTTTCAACTTTTCAGAAGTCATTTGGGAGACTGTTCCACATCCGGGCGGCCTCAAAAACAAACGATTTATGTCCATATTTCACAGTGTTGACCCTGGACACCTCTGCAGTATTTTCTTTCCTGAAGTCATAATTAGACATCTTAATATTTACAAGATTATGAATATGTTCAGGAGAAATTTTGTTTATAATTTTAAAAACCTCAAAACCCATTTTACTTCAGACGCCTTACATGAAGCCTGTCGCTGTTGGTGATACTGAGTAAGTGTCTGAAGGATGAGTTGTGATCATTATATATAAACCTTAAAGCTCTTTCTTGTATCTTTTCTAGCTTTCTAACACACTTCATGGAGCAAGAGTGCCAGATTAAATGACAGTGGTTAAAATTTTGAAACAATAAAAGAATTTTAAATTACAGGTCTACATTGTTTGGTTAAAACAACTCCCAATTCGCTTTAAAATGGAAAATTGCCTTGAGGCTTTCCTACAAATTTCAGAGATATGAGCTTCAAAGTTTAAAAATGAATCAAAGTTTACACCTAAAAGTTTAACAACACTGTCAGGAACAATATCTATTTCGCCAATACTAGAAGACTGTATAGCATCTACCGAACGTTTACCTATACAAATGGCATGTGGTGACGAGATACGTCACGACGGGTGCCACATGTGGTGACGAGATACATACGACGGGTGCCACATTTGGTGACGAGATATATCACGACGGGTGCCACATGTGGTGACGGGATACATCACGACGGGTGCCACATGTGGTGACGAGATACATCACGACGGGTGCCACATGTGGTGGCGGGAAACATCATGGAAGGTGCCACATGTGATGATTGAAGGCATAATGACGAGTGCTACATTTGGTTACGTGAGATATCATGACAAGTGTCAAAGCTTATGACGAGCGACATCACGGCGGATGCTGCATGTAGTGACGTAAAACATCATGATACTTGCCACATGTAATGACAGAACAAATCATAGCGGCTGCGACATGCGATAACTGATACATCACGAGGGGTGCCACATGTGGTGACCGGGTGAAAACTTTTACTCTTTTGGAACATCTGAGTTTTGGTGTCTCTTCGCGATCTGGTGTTGCCATTTATATCGATTTTTATTCTTACTTTAGAGTTCTTTAAGCTTAAACGCTCAATGTGTCTGTCAGTAATAAGAAAAAGAAGAAAAAAATCGGTTTTTATATATGTCTTAGTTATTTTTGTTATCTGTTAAAAGTCATTCGAGATATAATTTCCTAAAATCAGCCAACATAAATTTCTACAAAAGTGAATCATTTTGTTAATTTGTATTGATGACTCTGCATATGTCAACCCAATAATTGTCGTGTTATATATTCACAAGTCATACTAATCAGGAAGGCACACGCTATCCCGACTTAATTGGGTGATAGAACTATTCCACGGTAACAATTACTCAACAGACACGTGACCATTGCTTTGACACGTGAGTCATTACAGTTTTGAATTGGGAAATGAAAGTTGCGTAATTTGACAATTTTGATTTAACATAGCAGAACTATTTTACAGACGCGCTAGCGTTTTCGTTGTGTTGTGTTAACAGATACAAACTATTGACGAAATGGCTAAATAGTGCAGTGAACTGTTTATTTTGTCTATCGTCTTGTATCGATAAACTATATTTAGTATTGCTAGTTATTATTTTATTGTGCTTTATATATTTAATGTTGAAAATTTAAGAAATTTTATTTTAGAAATATACTTACACGCGCAAATAACATTGCAAAGTCTGCTTGCATTCTTTATAAGTCAAAAGACGATTTAAGGTATGTAGTTTACATATATTTCGCGCACATTTCAATCCGCGAGCTTGCCTCTCTATAGTTATCGGTGAACACAATAATTCGCGTTTCACGCAACGTTAATGCCTACAGTATGTGTGAATAATTGTTTGTGCTAGACTCGAATTCGCGATCGGACCGAAAGCGATTATACGCGAAAAAAGATCAAATGTGTGATGATCAGAGACCAAAGTAATAAACAGAAACTTGCTATAAACAAATATGATTATCAGTAAGTATGAAGAAAGTCAAATAACATATTGTCAGAGTAAACAAGGGCTTCATCGAATACTGCGAATGTTGATCTATGACGCAGCAACGTGAACTGATGCGACCCAAAACAATAGTAACAACAGCATAAACTGCAATAGCCCTGAAGCGAAACCATGTGGTGTAGACGGAAGACCTTTCCAGCAACAGACAAATGTAGACAATCACACAAAAGTAAGTTTGTGTTTGTCGAGATCAAATGACACTTAAGAAACAGAAAGAAGCAAACATTTCGGTTAACATTTAGGTTGGCAGAAGAAGCTAGGGAAGAATAAATCTGTTTTGTCCTTGATGGTGCCTTGTCAACCCGAGAGAAATTATCTAAAGACGTATCAGAATATTAATCAATTTAAGTGCTTTGCAAGTCTTCTAGCAAGATGTTTTTTTTTATAGTTGATGCCTTAAGAGTTATGAGAATATTTTATTGTTGAATGAGCTTTTCAGACTAACTCATGTAGGGATTACAATGGTATTACATAACTGTGCATTGTTTTATATTTGATGGATTTTACTTTGTCTAGTAGATCAGACTTAAAAGTCCATGCCGTATTTGGGTATCCCAATCAGATCAGAGAACTCGCACAAATGTTACTACCGGTCATCTGTTATCTCATTCTCGATACTCCAGGGGTTACATTCACTTTCGCTCTCTGCACCCCTGGGCCCGTATTCAAGAAACCGTTCTCGTGCTTAAACATGGATTCTGTGCTCAAGCCTTGCTACATGTACTTTCTTACTGCTGGCTTAAAATCATGTTACATGGTCTAAAAGTCAAGTATAAACATCGAAAATGGCCTACAGCCCTAAAACGCTTCCAACTTCTTCCAGATCATTGTCAATGTATATATCACTGGAAATAAGATATTGGGCTCGAGCACAAAATCTGACTTTGAGTATGAGAACGGTTTCATGAATACGGGCCCTGGAATACGTCATAGCATCATTGAAGTCACGAGGCTAGTTATTTGATTGGTCTCAGGTAAATAGAAGATTACAGGCCACGTTATTTCTTAGTTCTTCCTTAGTTCTTCCTTAATAACCTAATAAAATAAAAATATTACTGTACATAACAACGCACTACAGCACAAGACCAAAACTCCAAAAATTCCGTAATCGTCAATATTGACGACAGAAGGTTTTATAGATGAAGAGGAGCAACACCCGCCTTCAAAGCGAGTCAATTTTACCATTACGATACCGACAGATTCCTTTGATTAACATCAAAGGATCAAACTAGTCTTCTGCAAAATGACGGACGATTAAGCCTCCAATTTTGCTATGACATCAGGCGCGTAGCTAGCCCCTTTACCATGTGTAAGCCCCGACATGGGGTTGCCGAGGGCAGCCCCCTCCACTCCCCCCCCCCCCNAACACATGTGTAGGGGGGACCTGGGCAAACACGGCCCCTTTTCTTTTTTCAAGACGTTATGGAAGGCATGTACTATACTGATGAAATGCATATTTATATATATGTCATTAAGAAAAGAAATGTATTGTCTTTCATAAACTAATAACCAAATCGTAAACAAGACCATATTTTAGGAATTATTGGACTTTTTAGGTCGAGAGAGTTGGGGGCCGGACGAGCCCCGCCCTGAGGCAAATCTGGCCCCTACCAGGGCAAGTTTGGCATGAAGGATAGAGAAGACAATTTACTAATAAGAGTATGGAATTTCATTCAATTCTGTTGGAAAATAAGTCCAGAACAAATCAGTGAATACACAGAAAAAATATATTAATTTTTGCGACGTAAAAATATTATTTTTGTGGTCAATTGGGTGACGTTATCAATAGTGACGTCACTTGGCACAATAACAGTTACATTCGGGGTGGCCGAATGTGCCCCGGCAAAAGGGGCCGAAGGTGCCCCAAATTGATATTTTCATAAAAAAACCCATTGATTGTCTGTGTCCACTGTGCCATACTCGGAGTCGTTTGCGCCGGGCGTGAGTTTCTCAATTTACTCAATCGAGCAGTTTAGTTCCGCCTGGAACTGTCCATCAATGCAATGGACATTTCTAAACTTCATACATTTTTGTACTCACTATTAACAATGTATCATATCTGAGGAATTATATATGTATACTATATATTCAAAACTTAAACTCCACTTTATAGTATCAGCAAGAAAAAATAACGTCATGAAAACCTATACTTAAACCTATACAAAATCATGTGCAAGCCCGGGCTTATTGGCTTACATGGTAGCTACGCGCCTGGACATATTCCAGGGGTGCAGAGAGCGAAAGTGAGCGTAACCCGGGAGAATCGAGGATGCTGTCTATTTGTCGACACAACAGTCCACTACAAGTTATTCCCTATTTGTTAGGCACTGTTTAATATCTGTTATCCTGTAGAATCGGTAAGTGCTTGTTGAAAGTTTTCTAAAAGTGAAGGGAGTTTTGGTTTCGATTTGTATTCAAATTTGCGAAACTGATATCAAGAGATTTTATGATTTTTTAATGTCAATTTAAAATGGAAAGGATTTCGAAAAACGACCAGCTGATTTATAAAATTCCAAAACTAAAATGTATTTAATTGACCTGTGCTGTTTATCAATCAGATATGAGTTGTTACTGAAAGACTAGGAACAAATCGCTCAAAGGCATGCATTGTATACGTAAGTACCGTTGTTATATATTTGTCTGATGTGTTAATCATAATCTGAATTCCAGCTATGGTTTTCAGTGTCTGCCATAACTGAAAACATTGTTCACTGTGTACTTAAGGTGGGTGACCTTCACACTTCCTTAGATTTGACGGGGGACATTATGATGGGAACCACATGTGGTGCCGGAGGCGCTTACCTTTCCTGTTCTTCTGGTGTCGACTATGTGTGGGTTTATGGTGTCTTCCCGTTTTCGCGGTTCTTTCCGAATCGTCTTTTCAAGTTCCAGTTTTGTTCCTGTTTTGACTTTGTAGTGTATAATATATTTTCATTTTACTTTGTATTAATTCATTGTTAGAATAACATGTTTTATTGTAACTGGAAATCATTCTTTCCTACTATATTATATCATTTAAATATCAGTAAAGCCTCATTGTTATGATGCACTTGGAACATTACATTTGTCCTCTCTTTTCCCCGGAGAACAACAAGAGGCCCATATGACCTGTACCGCTCACCTGGATATTTATGCCCAGCAATGGTATATAGTTTATTATGGCTATTGATATGGCCAAGAAATTAATTTCCTAGGGCAAGGGTTGGGGCCAGATACAAGAGTCAATACCAATATCATGATTGTGTATATACGGTTATGGGGATCGGGATTTCAACCGTTTCAATGTTATAACAAAAAGAATAAGTCCCTAGGCATGGAACCAGACCACAGGGTCAATTATCAAATATATTGTATGAGTATTTTATCTCTTTATGACTATCAAAGGTATATATGGTTATGGGGTGCAGATTTCAACTGTTTCAAAGATATGGCCCAAAACTTAAGTGCCTAGGGATGGGGCAAGACCCAAGGGGCAATATTAATATCATGATTGTGTTCGTCTCTTGATGCCCAGCAATGGTATATATGGTTATGGGGTTGGGATTTCAACAGTTTCAAAGTTATGGCTCAGGAATATAGTTCCAAGGGGTGGGGCCAGACCCATCGGTCAATTTTAATATCATGACTGTGTTTATCTCTTTATGCCTATCAAATGTATATACGATTATGGGGTAGGAATCTAAATCGTTTCAAGGTTATGGTCCAGAAATTAAGTCCTTTGGGGTAGGGCCAGACGAAAGATCAATATTAATACACTGATCAGATGATTGTGTTCGTCTTGTGATGCCTAGCACTGGTATATGTGGTTATAGATGGAGGATCTCAACCGTTTCAAAGTTATGGCTCAGAAATCAAGTCCCTAGGGGTGGGGCCAGACCCCGGTGTCAATTCTTTTATCATGATTGTGTTTGTCGATACTGTCCAAGGTAAAAATTCTTTTTTGTTCTGCTCCTCAGACCCAGAATACCTTCCTTCTATTTATACAAATTTTGGTCTCGTTTGCCTAAGGATGTTTTACATCAAATTTGGTTCAAAGCCCTTCCTTCATACAGAAGAAAGATGTTAAACATTTCCCCCTATGTTCTCACTGATGGACACCGCCCCTTTTCTCCCAGGGGAGCCGCACCTCCGTTTAGGCAAAAGTGAGTTCCCCTTGCCTAAGGAGTTGTCGACTAAATTTGGTTCAAATTCCTCCTTTTATAATAATGATATACAACATTTGATATAGCGCCCTATCTAGCTAGAATAAGTCACTCTAAAGCGCTTTACAGTACATAGATATATAATTTATACAATCAATCAATTAGCATATCCATTATTCAATACAATTTTGAGGAATTCGCAGGAGCTGCCTTATCAGGCGCTAACTACTAGTCCTATGCCACCTGGTTAATATCTCCCTATGTGTGTATGCCTGGTGGGTGTGCTGGAGATGTATTGTGTTTTGTTTGCTTCTAACGGTATCATTCAAAGTGCCACCTCACTTGAATGTTACAGCACAGATACCTCAACACCCACCCCATACCATTTTATACTCCACCTGGGATGTTGGAGTTGTGTTGGCAGTAGAAAAACACTTTCCAAGGGTACGACGACTTCGGGGTTCGAACCCCGGCCGACTGAGCGGGAGGCCGGAGTGTTAACCACTCGACCTATCCGCCCATTTTGTACAGTAAGAGAAGAATTTTAAATGATTTACCTAAATGTCCCCTATTAGGGCCCACACCTCAGCCGCCAGGGGGCAATACCTTCAATTTATACAAAATTGAGTCCCTTTTGCCTAAGGAGTAAGGATGCGATACACCAAATTTGGTTCAAATCCCCCCATTCTTACAGAATGAGAAGAATTTTAAACATTTTCCCCTATGTTCTCCGTAATGGGACCCGCCCCTCTTCCCACAGGGGAGCCACACCCCCGTAATACAAAAGTGAAATCACCTTGCCTAAGGATATTCTAGACACAATTTGGTTAAAATTCCTCCATTTGTACAGTAGTAGAAGAATTTTAAATGATTTACCTACATTTCCTCTATTAGGGCACACCCTCCGTTTATATAAAATTGAGTCCCGTTTCGCCGAGGATACTCCAGGTCAAATTTAGATAAAATCCACCAAGCCGTTCAGGACAAGTAGCGTTTTAAAGGAAACGTTGACGGACGGACGCTGCACCATAGCATAGGTTCTTGCAGAAAACCAAGGTCTTTATTGAGACCACATTCTGCACGTTTGCGATTGCTAAATATTAGTCCTAGCATATATACAGCAGCGTTTTTACATAATCGATTGGTCATAATCAAATCCTTCCCCCCAAAATTCACAATGGCACATACACCATGCAATATAATATCCATCAATGTCATTTTATCTTAAATAAATCATAGACCATCTCCCTTCAACTACAGAATCGCAACATTGGTTAAAAATCGAAATATGCGCGCGTTAGGGTGATTGACGTCACGATATGAAAGTACTTTGAATGCATGGAGACGTGTTGAAGATGACATGCGCATTTGTGACTTTCCAACTATTTTTTAATCAAACAATTAAAGTGAAATGGTCATTTACTGGAAAGTAAGAAAAGGCTAACATTGGGAGATAACAAAACAAAAAACAAAAATTAAAACAATCAAAGTTAACAAGGAGATAGTAATAAATGTAAAATAATAATAACGAAAAAATAAAAGTAAGGTATAATCACAATGAATTCATGATAAGACACATATACTTTAAAGATTCTTTGGCAGGCTAATAATCATCACAAGAAAATATTGTCTTTACTGAGACAACAGGTTGTTGGTAGACCAAAAACACCACCTTGTATACAGGAAGTGGGTAGATTGAAACAGTAAATGTAAACAGGAAGTGGGTAGACCGGGACATCCCCTTGTTAACAGTAAGTGGGTAGACCGGGACATCCCCTTGTTAACAGGAAGTGGTTAGACCGAGACATCCCCTTGTTAACAGTTAGTGGGTAGACCGAGACATCTCTTTGTTAACAGTTAGTGGGTAGACCGAGACATCTCTTTGTTAACAGTAAGTGTTTAGACCGAGACATACCCTTGTTAAAAGTAAATGGGTAGACCGAGACATCTCTTTGTTAACAGGAAGTGGGTAGACCGAGACATCCCTTTTATAACCGGAAGTGGGTAGACCGAGACATCCCCTTGTTAACAGTATTTGGTTAGACCGAGACATACCCTTGTTAAAAGTAAATGGCTACACCGGAACATCCCCTTATAAACAATAAGTGGGTAGACCGAGACATCCCCTTGTTAACAATAAGTGGGTGGACCGAGACATCCCCTTGTTAACAGTATTTGGTTAGACCGAGACATACCCTTGTTAAAAGTAAATGGCTACACCGGAACATCCCCTTGTAAACAATAAGTGGGTAGCCCGAGACATACCCTTGTTAACGGTAAATGGCTACACCGGGACATCCCCGTGTAAACAATAAGTGGATAGCCCGAGACATCCCCTTGTTAACAGTAAATGGCTACACAGGGACATCCCCACGTTAACAATAAGAGGGCAGACCAAGACATCTCCCTTATTAAATGTAAGTATGTAGACCGAGACATCCCCTTGTTGACAGTAAGTGGGTAGACCGAGACATTCCCTTGTAAACACAAAGTGAGTATTTTCATAGACCGAGACGACCCAATTTAAACAGGAAGCCGATCATATCCTCGACATAGACAACCCCATGTAAATGGCTACATAGGGACATCCCCCTTATTAAAAGTAAGTAGGTAGACCGAGACATCCCCTTGTTGACAGTAAGTGGGTAGACCGAGACATTCCCTTGTAAACCCAAAGTGAGTATAAACAGGAAGCCGATCATATCCTAGACAGAGACAACCCCATGTAAACCGGAAGTCGATCATATCCTAGACAGAGACAACCAAATGTAAACAGGAAGTCGGTCATATCATAGACAGAGACAACACCATGTAAACAGGAAGTCGATCATATTCTGGACAGAGACCACCCAATGTTAACAGGAAGTCGGTCATATCCTAGACAGAGACAACCCAATGTAAACCGGAAGTCGATCATATCCTAAACAGAGACAACACCATGTAAACAGGAAGTCGATCATATCATAGACAGAGACAACACCATGTAAACAGGAAGTGGATCATATCCTGGACAGAGACCACCCAATGCTAACAGGAAGTCGGTCATATCCTAGACAGCGACAACCCAATGAAAACAAGAAGTCGATCATATCCTAGACAGCGACAACCCAATGAAAACAAGAAGTCGATCATATCCTAGACAGCG